AACCATAAATATAAAAAATGTCAAACTCTTAATTATTGAATTATTTTTTTTTGCAGTCGATCAATTTATGTGATACGATCTCTACTATTCTCTAATAATAAAGTTTTCTCCAATATCGAAAATTGAATATATATAAAAATCGAATCGAAAATTTTAATAAAAAACAGTTTTTTTTTAACAAGTTCTTTTATGTTCTCTGAATTTATTATCACAATCACTGAAAAAAATTAAGTACTCGTATAGCTGATAAAAGTAGGTATTTTTTTTATTTATAGTCCATGGAACACGATTAATTGGATGGATAAATAGTTTATTATGGGATGACAATGAAAAAAGGTGAAATTTCAAGCTGTAAATGTTCAGGAGTTCACTTAACCGTTGCCTGAAAATGATGACCATCTTTACTTAGTATTATAGAGCCGAAGATTGTTTTATTGCACATGCTAATAATATCTCCGGTAACTACTGGTCTGAAAAAATGTTTTTGTATTAGATAGCCCATTTATCGAGGAAGGCTTTATAACTTCACCCTACAGCCAATAGAGGTGGGGCAGTAAAAAAAATGTTGCAAACACGGAAAATATTATTCAAACTATTTTCACGCGTACGAAGCCGCGGGCACAGCTGGTGAAAATAAAGACTTATAATTTTTTTGCGTTTTGTAACGTAAATAACAATAAATAAAAACAAAATATCGATCAAGAAATAAAAGAGGACTCAGTAGCGTGCTAATCCTGACGTAGGTGTTGACATTAATTAATATTATCTTCTTAATGATGACACATTTCAAATTTATTGGCCATTAAACAGTATTAATTATCATTAATCCGATTTAATCATTATAACAATTATTTTGTTGATTTATTTATTTTTAATATTTCCTCGATACATATCCTCATTCTGCTTTAGCGTGATATTTAAAAGACTAGATTTTGCCTACGGCTTCACCCGCGTGAAGTTTGTCTTATTATCAAAAAGTCTTTATCGCGTAATGTTTTCATAATTAGAACTCCGATAAACCATACAAATACCCATGTTGATTTTCAGACTGTCACCTCATTTCTCCCTTTTAGGGGATCAAAAAACCTGAGACACGTACTTATTCATTATAGATAAGAGTACCTTTAAGGATACTTAGAAGGTAAATTTTTAACAACCCTTTCTGAATACATCTCTAGATCTCATAATATGGAATCTAAGCCTTGAATCTCTAGACTAGTGGTTCGAGCTGTGCGTTGATAGCTAGTCAGTTAGTATTCTTTAATATTTGTGTAGAGACTAGCTGATCCAGCAAACGTTTTGCACCTAAGGGTATGAAAAGTAATGAACGTCCTATTCTCAGACTTACTGAAAATACACACAAAATTTTCGAAGCCCTTTCACAAGCCGTTTCGAAGAATTTTTGGTACAAACAATGTCACATAAAAATTTTATATAAATAGAATAAACGTAGGTAATTACCGTCTCATTCATTAGTCAAAAATTCAGCAAATGTGAAGTTTAACACGATTTCCGTGACGGCTGTAAGTTTAATGTCTTCTGCCTTTCCATTTCCTTTGATTTGTTTGTCATTTTTCAGTGTAATTTCAAATAAATGTCGTAAAATATTTACCTACACGAAATTACGAAAGCAAAACAACTTTGTCGTTAACCGTTTCCCAGAAATTGTTGAGTTGATTTTGATTAAAAGACTCGTAAACTCATATTATAAGTCATTTTATTTTTGCAAGTAGGTTTTTCTTCTTCTTGTCGTGTCGACAACAGGTTTGTTGTTACACAGTGTCAGCCCAAAAATCCGCTACAAGAGTGGCGTTGTCAATAGCCTTCATTAAATCTTCCTGCGTGCAGCTGTTTGGGCACACAGGGCACGACATCATCGTTGACTGGGGAACAAACCACACTTGCATTCCAAGTATGAGCCATCCAAGAATCCCCACTTGAACAGATTGTCCTTACTACGGCCGACCTGCGTCTGAAGTCTATTTAAAGACTTTCAGGTTAGCCAGGGGAGGTCACGTCCAGGTGGAGGACTCTCAGACATAGGGACAAAAGGGCAGGGAAGATCAGCTCTCTCACGCCATAACATGCATCTCTCTTTTGATCGATCGTCATGAAGGAAAAGGGGCACACTTTACAAAATTTCTTCGACTTTTCAACCTTTCCTTTCAAGTAGGCTTTTACATCTTAACACTTTTCTTACACTTTTGCACGTCCCAATTTTAACCCTACCACTGCTTCCGGACAATAAATGGGCCAGCTGAGAAGAAGCAGCGCAAGAAACTCAGTCACTATTGTCAGCCTCTTTTTTAAAGGTTTACAGTCTTTAAAGTATAGGTACATAGTTGTAAATATTGATGCGAGCTAGACATTCTAAAGATTAATTTTGTTATGGATATGGATACAACTTTTACAGAGCATGTAGACTACATTTTGTTGCCTGTTTTTTAGACATCTTAGTTGGGATTAAATATTGAATGTAATTTTTAAAGGGGAACCCCATAATAAATATCTAATTACCACTCCAGGTAGGATTAAGAAAATTCATACTTTTAGGTTTTGGCGTTTAGATCACGATATTTTCTGTAAATAGATGCAGGCAAAGTCGAAGGAAAAACGTATTCTAGTATTAATTAAAACCGGCCAAGTGCGAGTCGGGCTCGCGCACAAAGGGTTCCGTAGCAGCAAATATAATAAACTTATTATGTCAATTTATACACCTGGTGAATGGAGCCTAAACTCTCCCGATATTTTGCCTTGTACTTTTATGTATGAATATTAATTTTATATATGTATTTATAAATATTCCGAGCTAAAGAGGTGGCAAAAGCAATGGCAAACAAACCACAATCAATAGTATTCGGTTGTCGCTGAACACTTGGAAACTGAATACATGACTCCGATAGATACGGAAACAAGGCTTTTACATATATTTTTTGCGATTTTCCTAGAACACCAACAAGACTATCGTACACACGCAGTATTCCATTAATGTAATAAATACAACTCCAGTGCCCCACTAATCCCACGTCACCGTCATAAATTACTTGAAGGTGCGTCTCATTTTTAGGTACAGGTTCAATCAGTTCAGGGTGTTGAAATAATTCTAGCTCACGCGGTCTAAATGATGTGCACCGAAGTAACTTTTCATGAAATGCGCGAACCACATCATCTTCGATATAGTTATTATAATTCAGAATGTAGGAAAACGTATTATCTAAAGTATCCATTGTTAGATGATATACAATAAGCTTTAGAAATTTTAAAAACCTGCTACGAAACACTAAAATTTGCACCAAAAACAAAGGAATTTATATTATTGGGGGATTTATTAGTACGTGACCGGTTTAATAGCACCTATTAAACCAGTATACCTACTTACTTATTTTTTATAATAGGTACAATTCAATATTAAAAAGTCTCAACGCCAAATTCGACTTGCGAAAGAAGTAAATGGGAACGATGAAATTCTCTTAGCGCGCACAAGTGACAACGACGTCTGCCCTCACGTGTCTGCCCGTTCGGGTCGACGCGGTTAGCTATCTTATCCCCGCTCCCGCGCGAGACCACGCCCCGCAACTCACGCGCTGCAGCGCAGCGAGCGACCGATCTTCTTGAATCGATGTAATAATAATCTATAGGATTAACGCGTTTTAAAAATATTGGTTCGATGGATATGTTTAACCTATTATTACTCAACAATCACATTTGTAATATTAAACTTTATCAAATGCACAATGTATTTAAGGTACATTACTGGATAAGGATTAATGGCGTATTGCTTGAATAAGCTAATATTTCTCGTAAAAAGTACCTACATTATAAAGATTTTATATCATCGCGGATTTTAAAAGGTGTACAATACTGTAGTATATTTTTTGATCTATCTTATAAGGTTCAGCCATCGTTTTCAGTGTAAGCACAATAACTTAACCAAAATTACAGTTAAATCAACCTATCTCAAAAACTATAAGAGATACTTTGATCAAACCAAAAATCGTTGAAAGAGTTAATTAGCATGCATCACCTCTATTTTTTTTAGAATTTTATACCCCGTAGTTATAAAAATAGAGGGGGGGGGACATACTTTTTACGACTTTGAGAGCTGATATCTCAAAAACCGTTCACTTTAAGAAAAATGTTTTTTAGAAAACTTTATATCATTTTAAAAGACCTTTCCATTGATACCCCACACGGGTATGTACATCGAAAAAAAAATTTTCATCCCTCAGTTACATGTATGGGGGGCCCCACCCCCAATTCTTTTTTTTACTATTTAGTGTCATAATTTTGTAGCGGTTCATACAACACATATTCCCATCAAATTTCATCACTGTAGTACTTATAGTTTCCGAGTAAATCGGCTGTGACAGACGGACAGACGGACAGACGGACAGACGGACATGACGAAACTATAAGGGTTCCGTTTTTGCCATTTTGGCTACGGAACCCTAAAAAATACGTGGTAGACAACATGCAGTTTTTTATAGCCCCTGAATAATAAACTTGAAAATACCTAGGTACTTTGTTTGTACAATGTTCCTATAATACAGACGCGTATGATAGAGCATTATAAAACATTGTAACTTATTCCAAATTGATTCCGAATTGGTGTTGGTATCTGTAAAAATCATCCATTTATGACGTATTTCAAATGCTAGTTTAATTAATGTGCTCATGGATCTTAGCTTCTATTAAATTAATAGCTCATGTAACTTATTAAAAGGCAGATGAAAAACCATTGACTTTGATGTATTTTATAGAGTTCCAGAAAAGACTGGATGAAAATAATTTGGGACAAAAACAAGAATGAGTATCTGTGATTACAAAAATGAATGTTTCAAAGAAGCTAATTTATACAATCCTAAAACTGTAGCAACAATAATGAAAATCCGTCACACCATTCAACATCGCGTTGACAGTTTTCTCACTTTTCTTCGAGTTATGTGCTCGCCACCCCACTGCGTGTCCATTCGACCGTGTACGTATAAAGCTGTAATATGTGATACTTTTCAGCATTTGCTATACAACACCTACGTGCGCAAGTCCTGGGCGCACATTGAAAAAGTGCTAGTGAAGTGATCAATTATCGACAATCGATATGAAGGCGTTTTTAGTTACGATTTTGTTGTTCGGAATCGCGAGGGCGAGCCAAATCGAGAATGAGGTGAGTTTTGTGGATTTTATCATTATTTTTTGCAATTAATGAAGTGGTTTGTAATTGATTGTTTTAATCTTGTAAGAGTTAGAGAAAACTGTTTAATCTTATTAATGGGAAAGTAATATTTCAGCTGTTTTAATCATAGGTAGTTGTTAGTAAATTAAGTTTTAAAATTATGTCTTAGATGATGAAGATCTGCAGTTTTTATCTTTATTATATGCCACAGAGAACTATTCACACTTACAAATTAAATGATTTGAGAATTAATGATATAATGCACGAATAATTGAAAACATTAATTGCAATCAGATGAGCAGTAAATTTAAATTATCTAACGTTATTTTAATTATGTTATTGAAGTTTACAATAATTATAACTAACTTATGATAAGTGCTACACATCACTGCATTAGAGATAGTATTTTACAAATTAATTACATTATGATAGAAGTGTTGTATTCAGAAAAATATAAGTGCTACATATCAGTGCATTAGCAATAGTATTTCACAAATTAATTACAATTTATGTTACATGTTGTATTCAGAAAAATGTAGAAAATAGCAATAATAATAATTTTATTTATGTCATGTAACAATTAGCTTATGTGAGAATTTACCATAAATTGTAGAATTATGAATGACACATAGACACATATGTAGACATAATTACGATGTTTAGCCAACAGCAAGTTAAGCTACACTTTAGTATCTTATATAGTTGTAATTAGGTCCATATTACAACAAAAATGTATGACTTGATGTGCTGTCATCTGTATTACAAGTAGACGACTTTCGCGCTTGACATAGTTCTTGCGTGCGTACCAAAGTACTGATTAGTACCTAATTACGATTTCACTAAAAGCACACAATTAAAAAAAAGTCAAGATTTTTAAGCGAAATTGATTGACACGAAAGAAAACTTGACATGTGTACATTCTGTTGTTTTTCAATTTGCAATGATAATTTATTATTATTAATGATTGCAATAAGTGTAATTCGTTATGATACAAGCAATATTTTATTGCTAATAAATATAAGTTAATTAATTGTGAACTGCGTTCACTTTTGCTTTTGTTCAATTTGAAAAGTAATTAATATGAATCAAATTAATTTATACAATTATTTTGACTTGTGAACTTAGGGGTCATCCATAAAGTACGTCACACGTAAACAGGGGGGGAGGGGGTCGACAAAGTGTGACATGGTGTGACAAGGGGTGGGAGGGGTCCTAAGTTTCGTGACATCACATTTCAATCGTTTCAAATATTTGATATAATGTTGATTTCATAAAAAAAAGTACTTAATTTAAATGGAAATAAAACTAATTTCGGAACTGCTGTTTATTTAATCATTTTTCTATGTGAAATTGCAAAACATGTGACGTCACACTAGGGAGGGGGGGTCTCAGAAATGTGACCACCTGTGACAAGGACGGAGGGGGGCTCAAAAAATCATGAAAATCGTGTGACGTACTTTATGGATGGCCCCTTAAGTGAAACTTGTCGATCAAAATGTTAATTTGAACTTTCTTTGTTACTAGAAAATGTTAATTTAATTTAACTAAGAATAGTAAGAATTTAATTAGTGTCTTACAGTATTTTTTATGTAAATTAAAAACAACATTTTCTTTTAACATTTTTGGCCCCAAAATTTTGCCAATTAAACATTTTTTAGAAGACAACTATAAAGAAGTACAACTAACAACTACACGACCTCATCAACCTGTTCAAATATCTATCTTGAAATAGCAAAGGGATCATACGAAGCACCTAATTTCTGTGAAACATGCAAACCTTAAAACTATGTTCAAAGGGTTAGCAGAATGTTGTGTAGAATTAAGTTTATTAAACGTACAGTTTCACGAACATTGCAGAGTCGTTTTGTGGGATTTATTAACTGGGATTGATACAGGAAACTTTAAGGGATTTAGATTAGTTTCCCAACCCATTTGGTCAACGTGGTGTAGACAGAATCCTCCATTGGCCTCTGGTAAATTAGAGAAGGTCTTGCTTCTGCAGTGGAAACTAACGCCGTATTCACAAACGATGCTTGCTTAAGTGAAACAGCAAATCGAACGCACAGCGTTGAAAAGAGCTCTGTGATTGGTTCGTGTGTCACCCTGTGCGTCCTCGCGCACTGTGAGACCTCATAGTAATGTTTGTGAATACAGGCGTAAAATAGCCTGATGCTGATGAAATTAAGTTTTGCATTTGAAATAGTTGTTTCAACTAGACAATTGGCTTCTGGCTTACCATCCCGTGGCGTGGCACAAAAAAATTAACGTCAAATATTTTTACAACAGCAACAGGAAATCATTGCATAGATAGGAAAGTGAAAAACATTAAATTGGAAAAATCAACGACAGCTCAAACATTTCATGTTTTGTTACAATTCTTGACATCGCTAACACTTTCCCCCTTATTACAAAAAAGTTAAACCAAGGACGAACACTGGTTTAAAATGACATTTACATACTAAATGACACTTAAACCGGAGTTCAACGAGAATCAAACTTATTTTAATAAGAGGGTTTTTTAACAAAAAAGCCCCTTCTTAACTTCATTCTTTAGCTTAACGTTTTTTTCCCTCTTAAAATCTTAAGTCTTTAACTAAAAATATAGATACCTATTAATTTTTATCATTGAACAAAATGTGCCGTTACTAAAAAGATCTGTAAACCCATTTCGAGGACTGCTGACTCTGGGACACGTCAAAGCAAACAGATTGGCACCCTTATCCGCGTCGAAAGCAAAAAGTAATACGGCAGATGGCGTGATTTGTAACGGAATCTTTTTAACGCGTTCTCTAAACGCCAAGCGCTAAAATCAAATTATTTTTCAAATTGCCACTTGAAAAATTTACTTAAACACGAATGAGTATAATATTCGTCACTAAATCCAGTACCTATTAACCTGGAAAACTGTCCTACATCAAGTCAGAGAGCTAAAATCGAACTTTGAATTATTATACAGGGTGGCCCAGAAGAAAATTCACTTTTGAAAATTCAAGGAAACGAAAACTGTACATTTTTGTAGACCTTTAACTATTGCAATTTAAAGGAAATTTAGTGCAATTACTTTGAGTAAGGAAATGCTTTCCAAAGCATTAGGAAAAAAATCATTGAAAAAAAAATTTTTGCAAACATCCCTCGAAAGAAAAATTGCATGTTGTATTATTGAAATAACGGCATTGTAATTATGGCTTATCGGATTTATTCACGATACATTTTAATTCATAACGGGCAGTCTTCGTTATAATCCATTAATTGCCAACGTAACTGTTAGCTCCCGATCCGTTTGGTTAGAGAAACAATTCGTTCCAATCCGATGAATATTTGAAAAATTATACTCGGAAATTATTAATAGAAGCAGTAGCAGAAAATATAGGCTGCACAAGTACCTTCTCTAACTTCATCATCATCATCTCAGCCATAGGACGTCCACTGCTGAACATAGGCCTCCCCCAATGCTTTCCATGTTACCCGGTTGGTAGCGGCCTGCGTCCAGCGCTTTCCTGCTACCTTTATGATGTCGTCGGTCTACCTTGTACCCACGTAAACGACAGTTTATGTTTTATTAATAAGGAGACTAAGTATTCGTCCAAAAAGTAATGTAAACAACTGTTTGACATTTATTTGACCCGCACAAGTTAGATTTCTCTCCAAAATGTAGGCGTATTGTTATCTTTATGTAATCGAGTCTTCTTTTATTATTTCTGTCGGTATTATGTTTATTTGGCACATTTTTACGATAATTACGTTATATCTGATTTCAGAAATAACGTAAACAAAGATGTTTTCGTAGAATTCTAGACAGAAATGGTATTTTTGTTGAAGTATTGCTTAGGGAACTGTGTGATTATTTATTTGAGATGTTTGAGAAAGGTATTGCTTATTTACAGCTTTGATTAAGTGCCTATATTTGTTTGTGTTTGGTAGATGTTGTTTTAGTAGTTTGCTCTATAATTCTGAATATTGACTTTTTATTTGCACGTGTTATTTTTGTTGAATTTTTAGTACTCGTATTAGTAAATATAATTTGACGTCTAATGCCTTTTTCATTTTATTATTTTGAACTAATATCAGTATCTAAATACAAAGTATTATTAGCTTTCAATTTCACTTCAATTTTAGTTCGTACGAGTATAATAAAGTTGTAAGCTCTACACAGCGCGATAATAGAAAATGTAACATTTTCTATTTCGTAATCGTTTCGCTTTTACGTAACTACGAGTACTTCGCTTCGATCGTGAAATCAAATCTCTAATCATTAAAGTCGCGGGAAGCACTTGGATGCGGGTAGCGCAGGACCAGTCATTATGAAATTAAGGGAGACTTTTGATCAAGGTGGTCGAATTAGGTTGAAACGAGAGAGATAAAGAAAAATAATAAGTGCTATCATATTTGCCCTCACTAAATGGCGCTGCTGTAGAGTAACGGTAACGGTAAAGGTACTGTCACTGGCTAGTATAGATCGATTCATCCACGAAGACGCGCCCCACCATTCTTCCGCTAATGTGTGAGTGTTATCGGCACACGCTAAATTATCCATGAGTGCACACACACACTACAATAATGACGCTTGGATTGCTCGGATCAAACTCCCCGCACCCCGCGCTTCCTCGCACCCTCCGCGTCTTTGTGGATGAAACGATCTATGACGCCAACTAATGACTGAATTGGTATGAGCTCTGTCGTATGTCGTATTTGCACTCACCAAATGGCGCAACTATAGAGGAAGACACTGTCACTCACTAGTAGCTAAAACAGTGGCGCCAACTGATGAGCGCTAAAGTGGTAAGATCACTATAGCATGTGCACTCACCAGGATGGTGCCATCGTAGAATAAGGCACCTACTGTTACTCGTCAGTGGTGCCAACTGCTTTGTATAAAAACGATAGCCCTCTTAAGCTTCAATCACACCAACGCGTGCAGATTTCCATCGCCGGCGCCTTTATTTACTCTGGCGCGATCAAAGGCCAATGACAGGTCGCGCGACCCATGACAGTTCACGCGACCTGTCATTAGCCTTTGATCGCGCTGGCGATGGCGTGTGTTGGTGTGGTTGAATCACTATGCCACACAAGTGAGTTTTCACGTTTATCTTTCCAACATTTAACACGAGACATAAGAATAAACTTGCTGTTCCATCATTTAGGTTACATAAGATAGGTAATTCATTCTTGGGGAAATGTATTACCATATTTAACAAAATACCACACAACCTTGTAGAATTGCCAATAAACAAATTTAAGATACATATTAAAAATACCCTTATGTCCAAAGGGTACTACAAGGTTCGAGACTATATTGATGACAAGGATGCGTGGTCAGTTCAGTCTGCACATATTTGATGTACTTAAATTTGACTATTCTTACCGTTAGATAATTCCTGGCAATAAGTGGTGACTGAGTTTGTTCCGGCGTTTCTTCTCAGCACTTGCCATATGTTTGTCTCGAAGCGCTGGTAGGGCCCAAAAGATAAGGAGACATGTAAAGTGCCCCATAAGGGCTACCTTTTTCTTTTTTTAATATTTTCTATTGACGTTCATAAGTGCCACTTGTGGTCTAAACTGAATAAATATTTTTGATTTGATTTGATTTGATTTGATTTGATTCAACTTTCTCGTTCACTGAAACATAATACAACAAATACGTGGAAGTGTGTCAGACTGGGCGCTTCGAGTGAACCAATACGATATGATGCGCTCTCTAGCTGATCCAATAATTTAGTTTTGCCCCGTGTGTTTACTCAGTTGTAACATATCGGGTGACGTTTTGTAAGTTACAAGCAGGAGCGATTCTTACTTAAGGTCATAGCAGACATATAAACTCAGAAAGGGATAAACACTGTATCGCCTTTCACGAGCAGTCATCGGATAGTAGTATATAGTGCGGATAAAAGTGCTTGCAGTATGGAGTTTCATACAAAGAAAACAGCCTCGAGTTGATACGGTTACGATCCCTTTCTGAGTTGATAAGTGTGCTACGTCCTTTGCAATCGACCGAGCTAACTGCGCACCTCGCTGGAATGCGACTCACCCTCGCACTCACCCGCACACCTCCCCGCGTTCGCCCTGTCCGTACCAGAGCGTCGATGTGACGTCACGGCTGCCAGATGCACAGTTAACTCGACCTGGTTGTAAGTAGATACTATGTTTAATTGTAAACCTAATTTCTTCCTTATTTTCCGATATGGTGACGATACCGTGGTAAAATGTATAAAAATCAGGTATGATCGTATATATTCCTTATGTATAATCATCACAATCGTCATCATTACTTTAGCCTTAGGACGTCTACTGAAAAAGGGCCTACCCAGAAACTGATTATCAGTTAAGACTATTTAGCAAATGAACTAAAAGTTAAAAGTAATTTTTCTTTCACATCAGCATGGTAACATTCGTGTTATGAAATAGCGTTATTTACTTACAAAAAAAGACAGTGCTAAGCTAGATAAGCATTCGTTTATAAAATAAAAAATCTATCAATAAATCAATTACAAAAAATTCCAAGTTCATTAACAACTCCAGTCCATAAACAATAAATTACAGCTCTAAAACAATTTTCTTGTCTCACAATGCTTGCATGGAAAGTGCTGAAAGTGAAAAGTGGCTAATTAGCCAGTTTTTATTAGCCCCTTTTTACGAATTAGCCGTGAATATTAATTAGCGGTGAATTTTCTCATCTCTTGTAATAATGGGTGCGTGTCCATGACTTCCACCACACGTATCATTACCATGGAAAGTGGGAACTAGACCGCGGATTGTTCCCAGAGCGATTGACTTCTCTTAAGGCGAAGTCTTAATGGATAGTACTTATTATTTCTTTTTTTTTTCTTAGGGGGAACGAACAGACGACTAAACTGATTTTTAATGGTATCATGATATTTTTTACTGACTTCAGAGGTTCTCAAATCAACTTTACGATTTTTTTTTGTGTTATGAGCTATTTGAAGGCACTTTATGTTCTTGGACACATTTTTTATTAATTTAGCGAGTTTATATTTGATGACTTTTTACTTTCATTTTTAACAAACTTCTGGCTTTACTCGTACTTTCACCTGGTCTTAAGTATTTAGTTAGATTACCTACATAAAGTTTAGAAGATGAACCTGAAAGAGGTTAACACAATTGCAGAACTTTCTTAGTTCAATTTGGGAAACATCATTCATCAACGTTTCTACAAACTCCAATTTTGAAGGTTTTTGACTTCAACACTTAGTGGTTCAATGTATTTTAAAAAAACAGCTAGAGAACTTTCCCTTAACAAAGTTAATCGGTGTGTTTAAAACGATTAACTAAACGTCATAGTTCAATTGTTTTCCTAATGTGAGGTGTACATAGTTCACATCTTTGTAAACGTAGCAAAAACTACTACGTTACGAAGCGTAGTATCTTAACACCATTATTATAGAGTTCAATATTCATTGATTTATCAATCACTGGAATGCGGGTAAACGGAAGTGTAGAAAAGTTTTTCGCATAGATTACAGTCTTACTTTGTTGAACATCGCAATTATTTTATATCAGAGATTAAGTTGTATGTTACCATTATTGTTACATAAAACTTGAAAAAAAAAACTGACTGCCTCAGGTGGGAGTGAACTCTCGATCTTTCTTTAGTGATTACTCTGACCACTGAGCTATTGAGATTGGTCGAATTAAGCTTATGATCGTGGTTACTATAATAATATTAATTAACAACAAGATGCAATAAATGAATTCGGTGTGATTATTCGTCTGTGTGATTTCAGTAACCATTTTCATATTCTAATATGATTTATCCAATTTAATTCCAATGCATTCAAAATTATAAAGGCATTGTTATAGCTTAATTAAGTTGGATTAAATTGCCCCAGCCGAAAACATTCCGTCCTCGCCCACAGAATCAATCAAAATTCCTCTGCAGTGTTTCAATTTAAAATAATATCATATTTCAAACTCCGTGGCTGAGTTAAAATCAGTCAAAAGATAAAACGGAGCTTTCAGAAGTTTACCCGGCAATTTTGCCCTCAAAGTTTAATATCCAGGGTTAACATTTAAAAGTTTTGTCTCTCTCTTTGCTCATAAAAAATTGATGAAATTCACAAACTGGGGCGTTTTGTCCAGAATTATTAACGTAAGAAATGAAACGCTGGGAATAGTAAACTAGGCTGTCAAGATGAAACGCCGCGAATTTGGCCTTTTACTTACTAATAATGGACCCTAAAGTTTGAGAGGGATGGATATTGTTCCTTTTTTCATGCCAATGTCAATTTTTGTTTATTGCTTTAAGTCACAAGCACGAGATGCTAAATTATGTGTAGGAGGAAATTAATTTTATCAAACTTTGTCGTAACTTGTAACTGGCATTATAAATAAAGAGTTTCATGAGCAATGAAGAAAGTTATAATCGCAAAATAAACACGCGATGAAGAAAAAAATGGCGACCAAGGGTGTCGCCTGCGTGGCCAACTACCAAAGAATGTTATTTTTAAATTTTTGATGTACAGGGTCAGTAAACCTTTCGTTCGTTTCAGTAAAATTATGTAAAGGCCTCCTTCAATTATTTCCACAACGACCGGTGCTTTCTGTGACCTTCACCAGATCGTCGAACCACGTAGTGGGAGGCTTTCGGTCCGTGGTCGCCAGTCGGGAACTTTCAGCTCCAACGGCCATAAGCTCTATGAACTATGTGCCTCGCCCACTGCCACTTAAGTTTGGCAATTATTCGGGCTATGTCAGTTACTTAGATTTTCATGCATCTCCTCATTTCTGATTCAATTACACACTGCGAATAATAAACCAAGATATTTCTCTCATACTATGACTGAGTTGCACCATAATACTTTAACAAACGTCAAAAGTCTGTCAAACTTCATACAAAATACGCCGGTTAAAGTTATAGTTACACTTGAAGTAAGGTGGTGCAACTCATCCTAAGAGTGTAATATGTTAGTTAAATGTTAAAGCACATGATGTCGTGACAAACAACGAACGAAACAACTACACGCAGGAAGATTAAAGAAAAGCTACTGACAACGCCACTCTTGTAGAAGAGTTTTGGGCTGACACTGTGTAGGTTTGTTGTCGACACAAGAAGAAGAAATTAAATGTTCTTTTTTCAACCTTCCAGACAGCATCACCCTCAGAAGAGTCTCTCAAGCGAGGACTGAGCAACAAGTGCGCCCAGAGGGAAACGTCGGCATGCATCGCCGCGGAACTCGTGGGCTATGTGGATCGGATGCTCAGGACGGCGTCCGTTCAGCTCAGCGAGGATGCTATGATTGTTGATGAAAGGTAAGGGTTCAAATTCAAAACGTTAATTGCATGCGATTGCGGTCAAATACCTGCCTTGTTCTATTTTTTTTTGCCACACCTTAGCGTAGTATCTTCTTCACTACCAATCTGTAATAACCTTTGGGGCCATGTCTTAATAAGTATTTTTGACTAATTAGGATTTTTGTGCTTTTATTTTCATTGTTTTTCCTCGTCACCCACCAAACATCTTTTTTCTAAACTAATTATAATATCATAAGGACAGCCTTATGGATATAGTTTTTATTCTGTTCTTGTATAGTTAAACTTTTCTACAGAATTAACTGGCCTGCACTGTTAGGAAAGCCAACCGCCATGGCGGTTGGCTTTCACTGGTCAGATTTTTACTGGCAATCAAGTAGATGGCGTTAGCACACTATAGGTTGGTGGGGACGGGAAGTAGAAACAGTTCCTTAGTTTGACCAATTTTCATGGTTGAGTTGAAAAAAAACACAGAAAATTTGAATCTTAAACACACATACGTTTTACGTGACCCTGCATTAATGAACCCCGTAAAACTGGATTGTCATGGAAACGAGCCCACCGTCCTGGATGTATTAGGTCTTAACACTTCATGTAATCCTCTTCACCCTAACCTATCCCATACAGCTTGTTTGTGACACACAATCATCCGGCCGTCAAAATGCCTACTAACCTCCCAAAGGCAAGCAGATTGGCCACAAATTGTTTCGGACACCCTTTATCCATGAGTAATAGGCACAAAATTATCAGCTAATCCAATTAATGAGCAAATCAATCTGCGGACAAAATGTTGGGGAATTTCAGCATCGGGAATCATTGACAGACTGCACTATTAGTCAATGATTTGAAATTAATGAATGACGCACAATTCAAAGGGTTGAAATTTTGATTCGTAAGTAACTAGATTAGAAATTAAACCTGTGTAGCTAAACCATGTGAAAAATACAGTAGTATTTTTTTTACCCCTAGTACTAATTTCGGCTTCAAACTATGAAGACTTTATTCCAGTTGCTGTCTCTTGAAAATTTTCTTTGGTAAGAATAGGGTGTCGGCAATAAGACGATATATGAGATTTTCACTTTAAAGGTCGATGTTCTTAAAGGCATATCCAATCAAGAACATTACTAATACTAAAAACAACATTAACTTTGGACAACCTGCAGAAATTATTCGTAATTTCTGGATAAAGTAACATTTAACAATAGCAAATCCTTTTACAAATTCTGTAAACGAACAAAACCCTGTCGTTATCGATGCAAGGTTAAATATCCTTTACAAAACGATGCACTTATTTTAATATCGAATTGAAATGCGCATCCGATTGAGCATGATGATTAAGCGGTTATTCCAAACGAGCGATTGTATTCGAATAATTGGGACTCGTATCGACTTTACGTTAGGGCCAGCGCGAACTTTGTGAATTGTGGTTCTGTAAGGGATAGGATGAGCGCCAATTTAAACTTTTTTAACGAAACATTTTATCAATCTTAGGCGATAGGCCCATACATTAGTCGTCTGAAATCATCGATAAAATGTTATCAAGGCGCGCATCCGTTTTAGGCCTTTACCTACTACGGCGTTTTTTTTGTCTGAAGTTACTTCGCCCCGTGAATGGATTAGACTTTCGTAGGGAACAAAGAATTCTAAGCATCGCTAAGGCCTGGTTTTAACCAAAGAAAAGAGGAGATGAGATTGAATAATCAAATTCATTACTTCATCACCTCTCCGCTTATTTGATTATTAAAAAGCATCTTATCTCCTCTTTGCTTTGGTAAAAACCGGGCCTAAGAGCCATCAAGAGCGCTGGCGCGGCGTCCAAAGTTGCATATCACATGGCGGAAATTGTCAAACATCGCTTGGCACCGCCAGGAGAAGTCGCGCGCTGGCTCTTATGACAGAACAGCTTACGATCCATTAGCTTTAGCACAATCATTTCCAATCGTACTACCAAGATACTGAGCTAGGTCTGCGCTGGCCCTAAGCATTTTCTACGGAATTTCACGTGCCATGTGCGCCGTGCGGTCATGTCCGAGCATACATTAATTTGAGTTAATCCTGTTATTTTAATGTAGTTATCGGTTCTGTGGAGTATTTGGATTAAACACGTGATAATTGATGCTACTTATAATACTTAGTATAATACCGTAAAGGGCCTCTCAACAATGTATTACGGTTTTGTACGTATCTACTAGAGGTCGTATCGAAGATTCACGAATACAATCTCGAATTGAAATCAGTAAAATGTCATAGGATTTTCAAGCACTATTCTAACGACGGATCACGTTCACAATTTTGACGAATTGAAACCAAATATCACAATGTCTAGAGATTTCGCAGGTTTTAGCTCTACCACCACTTCGAGAGCTTTAACAAATTAAGGGCTTAAATGATATAAAAAACATCACCAGCAAAATGCAATGATATAACTCAGTCCACCAAAATACCTACTATCCTAAAATACTGCCCTAGAAGTTTAGTAGGTATACTCGTTCATTCAAAACTAGCGACCCGCCCCAGCTGGAACGGGTGCTAAGTATACATGTCATATAAATCTTCCTCTTGAATCATCCTGTCTATTAAAAAAAACGCATCAAAATCCGTTGCGTAGTTTTAAAGTTCTAAGCATAGGGCAAGACATTTTTATTATACTATACTAGCTTTAGCCCGCGGCTTCACCCGCGTGAAATTTAGTTTGTCCCAGATCGTCATAAATTATATGTTATTCTGGGTTAAAAACAATAATACTGTAAAGTTTCATCAAAATCTGTTCAGTAGTTTTTGCGTGAAAGAGTAACAAATATCCAAACTTTCGCATTTATAATATTATTAGGATGTAGTGAAGTTCTCACTAACTTACCAACTCAAAGATGATCTTCCAAATTCCAGTAACGGTGCTGCCGCAGAGGTCACCGTCAGGCCAGAGACCCTCGCGCGAGCTGGCCACTCCCTAGAGGACCAGGCCCAACAGCTGATCATGGACAAGCTGTATGCCTTCGCCACGACCAGGTCGTTGAGATACAGGCTACTGGACAACGCTGACCTGGTCATCTCTGGCAAGACTGAAAAGGATGGCACTCTTGGCGTTGGTAAGTCTTAGAAGTCACTTATTTTTTGGAAAGGCTTTTACACATCCCTGTATTACTTTTATCCAACTACTGTTTTGGGGCCGATGGGTCCAAATAAATGGGCCAATGCTGAGGAGAATAAAGTTTAACGCCCGTATTAACAAACATTAATATGAGGTCTCACAGTACGCATGGATGCATAGGGTGACACACGAACCAATCCCAGAGCTCTATTCAACACTGTGTGTTCGATTTGATGCTTCACTTAAGCAAGCATCGTTTATGAATATCACCATCAGTGTCAGTAAACATCTCGTAACTCTCAATTTCATTATCATTAGATAATATGTGATTCAGGCAAACAGCTCGTGGATAACATAAGAAGCGACTAAGGGAGAAACATCAGGCCGTCGCAAACCGTCTAGGTCTTTAGTAGAATGTAAAAATATAGCTCAAATCTTTGATCGTTGATGAGTTCTAGAATGTTCTTCAATAATTGTTAGGAGATCTGGTTTGGTCTTCTCAAGTTTATCTAAGAGAGCAACGAAACAACCAATTTATAGCACCTCAGGTTAAACGAAAGATCTTACCATCATTATCGTCATCATTATCCTTAATAACCAAAACCACTCACCAAGATCGTGAAAAATATTTAAAAGACTTGTAGTTATTATAGCAATTCTAGACACCTAATCGATTTTGTTTTCTAAGATCTAATATTAACAAGAAATCTTTGTTTTTGGTTATTATTATTCGATGCCTGCCAATAATGTAGTGAGTAATATTGTTATCACAATCTAATTCTCTAAAAGTGTTGCCTTTACTGTCGATAGCGGATTTATCGATAGTCACATCTGAATCCAACTTCTATTTAGAAAATGTACGTTTAGTATTAATGAAACTATAAGCCTAGGCGCAGACCATTGATTTTTTGTCGGCCGATAGTTTAGTCGGGCAGTTGATCAGTATGGGCATGTATGGAAGTGCGCACTTACACCGATTTGATTTTGCTGATTCTTCATACAAATTAAAATCGGACCGAACTATCGGCCAACTAAAAATCAGTGGTCTGCGCCTTGTCTAAGATAAAACACTTTGTTCATATTTGACAGAGTTAAAATTGATTTCATTTTGAATTTAATTGTTACTCAAATCATATTCAATACTCAAATTATATTGAATATGATTTATTAAATAATTAAATCTGAAAACCAATCAACGAATAATTAATATAACAACATCACGAGCAGTTATCGACAAATTAAATACACACACCGATGCAATCCCAACACTATTTAGTAATCAAGTTCTAGCAACACAATTTTCAGAACTAAGCTAAGTTGTTTGGTGAAATACATTTATATCATACAATGTGATTATTATTAATAATAGAGTTTTCGTTAGCTTTATTAGGCAACCTAATTACTTTAACTGGTAACTCTCGTGTGTTCAAACATAAATTTTTGTTAGTAAATATGTTAACGTCTCCGTGGTTCAACTAAAATGAGCTATAATATGAAACGTCCATCCAGAAGATGATAAAAGATGACCTCATAACGGTTCCAGGAAGGCCGCTGCCAAACGGCCAATCTGGAAATCATTGGTGGAGGCCTATGTTCAGCAGTGGACGTCCTGTGGCTGAAATGATAATGATGACGAACATAATTATTGAGTATTCACCAATTGCGGGATTTATTCCACTATACTTTCCCACCACTGCAACTCCTGTAAAGCCAGGATCTACAACTTGGTCTCCAATGAAACTCAACCAGTGAAAGTTTAGTTAACCCGCAATGAATCCAATCAGAAGAATATAGGAGGAGTTCATCATCGTTTCAGTCATAGGACGTCCATTGCTGAACATAGGCCTCCCCCAATGATTTCCATGATGATCTATTGGTAGCGGCCTGCGTCCAGCGCCTTCATGTCGTTTTTTCGTCTTTGGGAGGAGTTTGAAACATGTATGATATCGATTACCTCCGTTGCAAAGCGGGAAACAGAATGACTCTTAATTTGTGTATTCACCAATTCTTATCTAAGTATTTATTTTCCCTTCTTCCAGGAGTATCAATGAAGGCGCCCAAGGCAATTGAAACCGGTCGCGCGCGGAACAAGAACATCGGCCCGTTCTTAGCCGCTGCAGCCATGAAATTCGGCCTCCTCGGAGCTCTGACCTTCAAGGGTCTCACGCTCATGGTCGGGAAGGCCTTGCTGATCTCCAAGATCGCACTGCTCCTCGCCACGATTATCGGACTGAAGAAACTTTTCTCCCATCAGGTGAAAGACTAGTTGCAGCGGAGTAAAGGTGTTGCATGAGTTTTGGGTTTTATTTCACGGTGGAGGTTTGTGAACATGGATTACGATTTTGAGTCTTCAAAGAATACCCTAAAATCATGGAAAGATGATAAATAGTTATAGGATCTGACACATTGGATGCGGTCTGCAGTAAAGTCAAAGGAATCATACATTATGCAGGCTGCATTTTCTTTGACCTGACCGCAGACCATATTCAATGTGACAAATCCTTAAGTTGAGATATTTAAGGTTTTCATATTATCATAGGACAAGTTTCTGGTGGTGTTCTCCTGTAAGGGATGGTTTGGTCTACATACTATTAACAATTTGGGTCATCATAATTCACGGTTGAAAAGTATTATTTCTTCTCGAAAATTCTCAAATGTCGTAGTCCTTTCATTTTGATGTCCAAAATTCATACTCATTCTCATTTCAATTCACAATAAAATATTGTTGATCAAATAAATAAAACACTGCCAAAAATATAACACATTGTAATATTGAGGAGTGAAGAAAGTAACGTTAATATCGTCTTTAGTTTATAAAGATAATCGAAAATCGTTTCGAGAAAAATCATTGTGTTGAGTTTGGGACAATGATCTTTATTGTCAAATTGTTTGCAAAGATCCCTGCTTTTTAAAGCAGCTAGGTAACATGAAATGTGTGAACTTGATGACCTTTCAACCCGGTCGAGTTAACTGCGCAGCTGGCAGCCGTGACGTCACATCGACGCTCTGTTACGGACGGGGTAAGTGGGAAAGAGAGTCGCATTCCAGCGAGGTGCGCAGTTAGCTTGCTCGTTAGTTTTAATTTAGTGCTCGTTGTAACGCCATGTTCATAAGCCTTCACGATTTTACCCTCACAACAGCATGGTATGTCTCTCATACAATATGCACGGAAAATAATATTAACATTATTGCAAAATCACATTTTGATATGGACTCACGTAAAAATAATCTCGCACGATGAATGTGGAACATTTTAACATTGAGTATGAGTGTTATATTTCTTGGAAAACATTTTCATCAGCTGTGAAACTTGCGAACTTTATAATTAACTACACCAACTGTTAATTCAGGAGCTCTAACATTATTACAAATAGAAAATTTATTATCTGTGGGCCTAGTGTGAGTTTACATCAAACGCGCTCACTAGTGAGCGCGTCAAAAAATGACATTAAATGATAATTTATTGCACTGTATGTATATGTTACGGTTAATGTGATAAATTGAAAATTATTAATAATAACCGGTTATTATGAATAATTACTTACAGTCGCGGTAAAAGTGATAAATTAATCACATTTAACAGTGATTATTTAATAATTCAACCTTAGTACTAACAAATTTCATAAAAGAGAACAACATTTTGTGTACATGCTCCTGTACAGCCAAACTTTTGAACGTTTTGATATCATATATTAATATAATTTGGCATAATAAGTTTGGAATGTTTTTTGCATAATATTACTTTTCCATGATGTCTATAACATAATGTTTTGATTTAAAGTGAAAAGTTGATAGGTTAAGGTGCGGCGGGGGTGGCCCTTGGGCCACCCCTAAGCCGCCTATTTAGTTTTATACACACATAAATGACCTCATATTAATCACATTTACCAAATCATGAGGTAATTATTCATAATAACCGGCGATTATTCATAATTTTTACATTTATCACTTTGACCGTAACATATACATACAATTAATACTATACTAAATTCTTTCTAGAAAGGTATGAAGGTCCATTTTATAGTTTTCAGACCAGGAAAGAGCTATATTAGCACAATTATTAACACAACCAAAAAGGGACCAATGGGTTTTCTGGGCAGATCCAATCAATAAACCAATTAGCATACAAACAGAAATATTAATGAATCCGTTGATTTAGGCTGATGGGGATCAGATAATTGTTTTGTTCACTAACCGAGCTAGTTAAAATGTCTAGAAGTTTTGAATGAAGCTGCCGAACTGGACATGACATTGTAATTGATATGATATAATACAATGCAATATTTCAATATTCATTAGAACTGTTCCAATTGGTACATTTAAATTCCCCGCGGACTACAGTTTCTGTCGGCTAATAATTTGGTCGGGCAGTTAATTAGTATGAACATGTACGTACATTACACCGATTTAGTTTTGCCCGATTGCTCTACAATTGTACAAGTCTAATTTAGAATATTTTTTAGTAAATGCACCATACGTAGAATGTTCCCTTCACTTGAAAAGAAAACACTCACTATGAGAAATATTAGTCACTCAGTATTTTTAAATCCATTTATAAACCATACATCGTTGGTTTGCTAAAGCACGTTAAGTCACGTTCACACATTGGACAGTATCCTGTTTAGTAAAAAAATAGTATAATGTATCAACTGTGTTAGCTCTAAAACTTTTACTAACCCTTTTGCTCACTAACTCTGTTAACCCTCACACATTCACTTCTTAAGTCTTTTATTGTGTTACAAAAACGGACCCTACGTGGATCAACACTGGCTATTGGTACACACATTCGTTTGGCTTGACCAATATAGTGTTGATATTATTATAAGTAATTGTGGATGCTGCAATCTAGCACATATTGCACTGTAAAGAAAAAGAATGACAGTTTGTCTTTCCCCGGGACAAACTTGACCTTCACTGGTTGGGTTTTTATAGGTGGTCAAGCTGTAGATCCTGGCTACACAGGAGTTGCAGCGGTGGAAACGAGAAGTGGGAATAGTCCCGTGTAAAAAGGAGGAGAATTCATGTATCACAAATAACTCCGAATTAATCGTTTGTACAAAGTCCAAAATAAGTTGCTACGAATTTAAGATTGTAAACGGTAATTTGTGCAATAGGTACTACAGTACAGTGTAAGTGTAAGCTTTAGGAAATGAAACTGATACGGCCCTGTAGATTACTCGTATAATAATTAAGAGAGAGAGTTGCCGATACAAATTACGATTTACAATCTAATTTTGCATGTAAAATTATTTTTATACACAATAACGAAAGTAGAAAAGTTTTTTTACCGGAATGCTATCTTCTAAAAGAGATTTAAGTACGAATACGTTTCAGGCTGTCATCAAAAAGGATTAACTCAAATTCCTTGAATGAGACTTGATGGGATGGAGGCACCGTGGCAGGAAATACCTCAGCTAAAATATGTAACCTTTTGGCCCTTGGTAAAACATGCAAAACAAGGTTAACTCAGCCTTTCGGCCCGGGCGTACACACGCACTGTAAGGGTTAACAGAAAACAAAATGGTGTCTTCTAACCCAGCCAGAGAATTGATACGTGCCAAAGACCAAAATCAACGAATATAAAAAAAAAACATAAAAATAATCAGTCCCCTGATGATATTTATACAAAGTCTATAGTTTAGTAATGTAAATAACACGTTAATTTATTATTATTTATTTTTAACCTTAGTTTTATTTTATACTTGTGCTAACTTGTACAATGTGCTAATTTCGCATTTAAACAACTAAGCATTTGCTTACAATAATAATTTATTAATTTATTGTTATTTAATTATTATTAATTGTACTAACAAGTATTTATTATGGATTAAACGAATTAATACGATTGTATTTATTTATTTCTTTCCCTAATTTACTACTACTAAATTATATAAAAAATACTAATCTGTAATTTTATTTACCAGTAACAAACAATGTGTATTATTTATTTACAAAGGTCAGGATAAGGAAACTTTTTAACACGCTTTTATTAGGTCGTCGTGTACCTATGTAACTATGTAATGGAATCTAAAAATCTGAATTACACGCACTTCTAATTCTTGTATCATTATGAAACTTGGCAATTATATGTAGATCATCTAGCTAGACAATACAATATTATGGTACTATAGAGCTGGTCTGATGATGGAACTGGAAGGTAGCCATAGGAACTCTTAAACGAAACTGCGGAATCGCATCGAGTTTGAGTTCATTGGATTTGTCTTTTTTCGAGCACTTTATTGGTCTTTTACTGCAGTAATTAAAAGCGTGTTTTTAGATTTTGAAACTATTAATTTATTTGGTTGTTTATTTAGGCCTTATAAAAGTTACACAATAAAAATAAAATATTTCCTACTACCCCCACTTCGAGACAACAGTTGATAATAAAAATTGGCAGAAGATATGGATACGCCCTGTGAGACTTTCAGGCAGTCATTATTTATTTAAGAAAAATTAACTACAAGATTTCAGTTCAAAATAGGCTAAAGTTACCCATACAATACACAGATACTAAATACCTAGGTTTTTATTTTTAAACTTCATAAACTGTCTGGCAAAATTATGTTTGAACAGGCAGTACACAAAACTGTAAACGCCCGAAGCACAATGGGTCCTGTTCGTACAGTCGACCGCACATCAAACTATACATTTTGTTGCAATCTCGCCTTTATTTCGACTACATAAGATGGTACAATATTTACGCTTATTATGCTGTCTGTACACCGATTGAGTCTTGGATCGGGTTGGGTAAAAACCAATCGAAAGCTCAGGCAAACAAGACACAAAATTAGTATATTTCTAGGCCTTTCAATTAAATTTTGTAATGGATGAAACGTGTTGGAGGCAGTCCAAAAAAGGTATTGTGTATACTACACAATACCTTTGGAAACATAATACCTAAATCGTAATAAAATCATAATTGGAAATCATAGATAATCAGAGGTCAAAATTAACTCTCTACAGATTATTAAAATAATTGGCAGAATACAGACGTAATGCAATATTAAAACAAAAATATTTAGGAAATCTTAGTTTAGTAGACGTAACATCTGCATGTGGGATAGCCAAAGAGCATAATTCTGCAAATTTTTCCTACAGACACTGCCAGCTATTTTCTTCAGGGCATCTGAATAGACTCAAATAGTCCTTTAGATTTTAAGTTTAATATTATTACTAAGTAACACTACTCTGAATGGATCATAACGGTCTGAAATAAACGCATTATTATTATTATTTATATTATACGTTTATCAAAACCAGACTCAAAATTAGATTTTGTGACTCACCGAATTCTGTGACATACGCTTAGTGACTAAACTTACCTTAAGTTTAGTCACGAAGTTAGATGAATTTACCGTATACCATTACCATTTCTTCGGAAATTGAAGATGTACTGATGGCAAACAGGAGTTTTAACCAAGATAAATACATTACAAGATGTGATTAATTTTATTCCTCTTGATAAGATAAATAAGCAAATTCTTTCAAACCATGATTGAGTTTGCACTGTCTTTGTATCGATAGCCTTTGATCAATCAAGGATTCAAATAACGAAAAAAGTTTTAAAACTCCAAATATCTTGGGAACACGTTCGGAAAAAGGGTGTACAATGACAAAAGAGTAGTGATTTTGAGCTTTATTATCAGATAAATAAAGTACATTCGGAGAGCAACTTGTGCTGTTGTTTGTACAATGAAGAATCATTAATTTATGTCAAGGGAATTGCTTTTTGGATTCTATTTCATTTGTTACATTGTGATGAATACTGAATGACCTTAGAACGAATTTAAGACAAAGGGTTTCTGATCTATAAACATTCCTACATTTATGAGTTTTTTTATTGGTTAAGACACTACTTAAATTACAAAAGTAGGTAGAGTTTCGTGATCAATTAGTTGCAAACCTAAGTTACTTATTTGAGGCTCTAAACTATAGGAAATAATACTATAATGTAGTTAATTTAATACAGAATATATTTTTTAAATTGTTGTAAGGTAGGTAGGGGAGACCGAGGAAAATTGTATCAGAGGTCAGTTGTCACACAGCCGACTCTTTAGCTGAAAGAGCAACGAATCCACAGAGTTGCTAGTTTGATAAATAAGGTTCGGAAAATTGGCTTTATTATAACCTACTCCTGTTACAACTCTCCTTGGTCTACATGTACAATTGTCAATTGATTTCAAGTCACCGTGCATCGTGTCTTGACAACTGCATACAAAGTCAATAAACAGAACGATATTAACTATTTTCTCTCTATCCATCGAAGGAAATCCTAGCGAAGAAACGAAATTAGCAAGTAATAATGTACGAGTAATAGTCTCCACGGTATCATTCATAGAAGTCTGGAACCATTTAGTTTTATTGCCCAACTCTATCATATCTCTAGGGACGAGTTTTGCCGTAATTTGATTTTTTGTCGACGGTAGAGTTGTAAATCCTAAAAGATGTGTCAGCGGTGGGAACTAGAGGTGGTATTAAACATACGGGCCCTTAAGTGAACTCGAATGTAGTGTAGAACGCCCTCCAGTTAGGTGGGGTGATGATTTGTGGTAGGTCGCTGAGTGAAGCTAGATGTGGCAAGCTGAAAACAATGTAAAATGGCGTATATTGGGGGAGGCTTATATCCAGTAGCGGATTGCTACGGGACTATTCCCACCTCTCAGTCCCACCACTGCAACTCCGGTGTAGCCAGTATCTACAGCTTGACCGCCACAAAAACCCAACCAATGAAGGTCAAGTTTGTCCCGGGGGAAAGTTAAACTGTCATTGGACCCGTAACGAAATTAATCAGAAGAACGTAGGAGGAGTTCGATAGGCGGATTGCTAGAGGCTGATTGATGACAACTGCTCTTATCACTACTGCTGAACAAAACCTCCTTCAAGACTTCTACAAGGAACGGTCTTGCGCTGCCCGCATATTAATAGGTGCTTCCCTCTACCTTCGTCAGATTGTCGGTTCACATAATGGGAGTCGCCGCTCGAGACCTTTTCTGCCCTAAAACGGCCATCAGTTCTATTCTACGTGCTATGTTCCCCGCCCACTGCCACTAAGTCATTGTCGCTTCACAGTAAAACTAAGTTACACCTTTTGGTAACCCATGGAATGCAAGTTGTAGATCCTGGCTACACAGGAGTTGCAGTGGTGGGAACGAGAGGTGGGAATAGTCCTTTTTAACCTATGGAATGCAATTATGTATTAAGTATTAACTAATCGATATTATGAAGCATTGACCTCAATCACAGAGTTACAAAGCTTAATTATTAAACAACTTAATTTAGAATTTATACAGGAATAACTTGATTTCCTGTTAAATATTAAACTTTGAGGAACATGGTTTGAGTTCTGTTCTTAAGTTTTGACAGACTGTCTTTTGCAGGTCTTTAACCTTCGTATACCCGCGCGAAAAAGCATTACACATATACCCGCGCACGGTCTCTCAGACCGAAAGTTGAGCTCGTGTTTTATAGTATAATTTTGTACTGTATTGTACTATAATTTGTTTTAAATTATACGTTAAGGTTATAATTGCATAAAAAAATTAAAACCAATGTTATATTTATAGATATTTTGATTTAATCAGCCTTTAAATCAGACTTAAAATTCAAACAAAATTTTACATCTCCTAAATTTAATAACAAAAAAAAAATTTTTTTTCTTTTGATGCCTAAAAAATTACTATAAAATACAATAAATGGAAGTATCCTTAGTAATATAATAGAACAAAACAGCAATAATCACTAGTGATTTCAGTGGAATAATATCCGGAACATACCATAACTGCATGCTCGTATAATGACAAAAATACTTTTTGCATCTGACAAATCACCCTCCTGCTAAGAATCTATGTTGTTCTCCTGCACTTCTAAATCATCCTCCACCTCATCACTGTCACTCTGGTCATCATAGTTGGAGTCCGAATCTTCACATCCTAATAGCGCCCTTATCCTTTCTTCGTTCATTATGACGACAAAAATGGCTAAAACAAATTAATAATAATAAAATACGGTAATACTTAATTGATATGAAACGCCACTAAAATATGACAATACATTTTATTGAGTAATATTGTAAAATAAAATAATAGTAACATACCTGAAGTAGATACACGTATACCCGCGTCGGTCTCACAGACCGAATAACAGCAAAAAGTGACACATGTACACTTGGCAGCAGCGATCGCCCAACACTAAACAATGGCAGACCACAAATCATGAAGCTACTAAAAACCGCAAAGTCATAGAGTTATTACTTTTTGAAAAAACTTCGATTTATTAGTTCGTCGGTCTGAGAGACCAACGCGCGGGTATAGGAAGGTTAAAATAAGTTGGTAAGGTCAAGGAATGGAAAATATTAAATAACATGGGAAGGGTTTAACTGGTTTAACTAACTATCACTAGGCAACGATTACATGCATAATTTTCACAAACTAATGTCATTTAAAAAATAACTACAAAAGCTTAAAATAAGACTTCTCACTAAACTTTTTGAACATTCTCATTTGTAAAATAAAATAACTAACACACTCATTTGTAGACTTTATAAAATACTAAGCGGCTGCTCGCGACTTCGTACGCGTGAATCCCGTTTTACCCGCTTAGGGGT